TGTGTGTAATAGTAACGAGGTTAATATATCTCAGAATTTGCTGTTGTGATCTCTATGTGTAACAGTAACGAGGTTAATATACCTCAGAATTTGCTATTGTGATCTCTGTGTGTAATAGTAACGAGGTTAATATATCTCAGAATTTGCTATTGTGATCTCTGTGTGTAATAGTAACGAGGTTAATATATCTCAGAATTTCGTTAAAATATTCTAAAGAATGATAAAATAAATTGACTAATGTCTTATAGTTATTTGAACTCAATTCTTATTCAATTAAGTAGTGTCCAAAGTCTTAGAAGAGCACAAACGCCGCTACGTCATCGCTACTCTTGTAAACTAACCTAACTTATCCTAACCTAACCTTACTGAACCTAACCCAACCTATTCTAGCCTAAGATAGAGCCCAAATGCCCAAATGTTGTGACTTCTAGGCGAGTGAAAACTCTATGATATCACAATGTTTAACCCGGTATAGGTTATATATATCCCGGTATAAGTTATGTAGATCTCGGTACTGGTTAACCGGGAACCAGTTTCGAGACTTTTTGTATGTTTGGCTTTGAAAGATATACAGGTTTCGCAAGATGATGAATCATGATGAATAGCCAGACTCAACAATACTACCCGTGACTCATGGAACCATATGTATGTGTGTGTGGGTGAGTAAATGGATAAGGCACAGAGATGAATAAATGAATGTAAGGCGCCAAGGAATGAATTAAGGGAGCATGTATTCAGATATCTGTTCTTTGGAGAGTCGACACTTAGTGCTTGGGTTCTGGCTGTCAAGGGTGTATGAAACACCTTTGGTTCTTTTGCCTCTGACATCGAAGTGGTTTCCTAATGTCCTCTTGGTCTATTTCGATGCTGAATTTCCGCCTGTTTTCCCCTCATTCTTCAGTATGAGTTCGTCTCCCCTTGTTCATTGTATATGTATTTCCTCCGCATTCTCTAAGTGCTGGTTGGGAGAGGCGAAGGGTGAGAGGATGGAGAGAGCCATGGAGGTAAGAGAGAGAGAGGTAGAGAGAGAGAGAGAGAGGTAGAGAGAGGGAGAGAGAGCCTACGTAGGAAAGTGGGAGGGTGAGATAACAACCTAAGTGAGGGGTTGCATGCACTCTACGCAGGTGAGAATGATTCGAGAGATGTAAATTATCGCCCTAGTGCATAACGGCAGTTAGTGAACCGCTAATCACTCGAGGGAGTTAGAACTAGGACACGTCATGGAAAACGAAGTGCTAGAATTCCTAATCTCTAATTGGATAGAAACTATAATGAGATAAGAGGTGCCAGAGGTGCCAATCAGAAGGAAGCCTATGCGGCAAGCAGTGAGTCATGATTGATTCTCATGAGTAAAGAGATTCATATTCTATTCATCTCGTGAGTCTTCTGATGTCGTGTGGGGTGAAGGATATGTACTTTCAGTGTATGTGAATGCCAATAGGTCAGCTGGATGCTCTTGTGAGAAATACGAAATAGTGAAGAAGATTTCTGCAGTTGCAAACTCACAGTGTGGATATTTCTGCAGTTGCAAACTCACAGTGTGGATATTTCTGCAGTTGCAAACTCACAGTGTGGATATTTCTGCAGTTGCAAACTCACATTGTGGATATTTCTACAGTTGCAAACTCACATTGTGGATATTTCTACAGTTGCAAACTCTCATTGTGGATATTTCTACAGTTGCAAACTCACATTGTGGATATTTCTACAGTTGTAAACTCACAATGTGAGTGGAAGGGTGAGATTTCTTCCAGTTAAGGAAGAAACAGGGAGACTGGCAGCGACGCAGAGACGCTTGTCGTCAAGATTTTAGAACAATTAATTTCTCCTTCAGACGTAGCCATTAACTTACTGCACTAACCAGCACATATGATTTTTTTTTCAGGGATATTCATGCCCGGGCCCTAAGCCTCTGGCTGGCCCACTAAAGCACATATGAATTTGATCAGGGATATGTTATGGAGATATCTAACATATCGCTATAGATATATCTGTAGATATATTATATCTATAGATATGATAAAATGCGAATTGTGTAGTGGGTTACTAAGCATTCAACCACGGGAGATTTATGAGTTTTTGACAATGCTAATAAGCATATATGTTGTTTCCTACACTGACAGGAATAGGGTATATGTTATACTACACATAGTCACATATAGTGAGACACCTCTATAATCCTATTTTCGTCTGTACGACACAGATAGGGTTATAGAGATCTGTTCTACCCACAGGACGATTAGTACTCACCTACTCACCTAATTGTGCTTGCGGGGGTTGAGCTTTGGCTCTTTGGTCCCGCCTCTCAACCGCCAATCAACTGGTGTACAGGTTCCTGAGTCTACTGGGCTCTATCATATCTACATTATAAACTGTGTATGGAGTCAGCCTCCACCACATCACTTCCTAGTGCATTCCATTTATTAACTACTCTGACACTGAAAAAATTATTTCTAACGTCTCTGTGGCTCATCTGGGTACTAAGTTTCCACCATTGTCTGTGGGAAGAACTGCTACTTCCCATTGACGGAGACAATTGATGAGGGAGAATGAATTGATGAGGAAGAATGAATTGATGAGGAAGAAAACAAGCCATGAGAGGCGATGAGTCACAATAACGTGGCTGATGTATGTTGACCAGACAACACACTAGAAGGTGAAGGGACGACGACGTTTCGGTCCGTCCTGGATCATTCTCAAGTCGATCTTGATCAAGTCGATCATTCTCGAATCGAATGGAGAATGGTCCAGGACGGACCGAAACGTCGTCGTCCCTTCAACTTCTAGTGTGTGGTCTGGTCAACAAGCCATGAGAGACTTCCTTCAGCTCAACTCCTAACACCACCAAAGAATAGTAAGTCAGGGAGGCATAGAACTACTTCTAGAGCTGCTAGATTGATGGCAACTCATCAACTAATTATCCCACAATGATGACAACACACATCAACTAATTATCCCACAATGATGACATCACACATCAACTAATCATCCCACAATGATGACATCACACCAACTAATCATCCCACAATGATGACATCCCACCAACTAATTATCCCACAATAATGACATCCCACCAACTAATCATCCCACAATAATGACATCACACCAACTAATCATCCCACAATAATGACATCCCACCAACTAATCATCCCACAATAATGACATCCCACCAACTAATCATCCCACAATAATGACATCCCACCAACTAATCATCCCACAATGATGACATCCCACCAACTAATCATCCCACAATAATGACATCCCACCAACTAATCATCCCACAAAGATGACATCACACCAACTAATCATCCTCTTTCTATATTAACAATTCCAACTCAACAATTCTTTCTTTGTATTTCACAAACACATTTACACAAGTTTTCCTCAATTTCTCACGGTCACGAAGTTGAAATTAGAGTTACATATGAAAAGCAAATCATTGAATCTTGCGCATTACCAACCCCTGCAATATTGCTAATGCAAAGATGATCTGCTAATTCTCTCCTTATTAGTTAAGCTATAATGATTACACATGGAAGCTGATTGATGGCATTTTCAGAATAAAGGGGTTAAGGGAGAGTGGGGGAGGGGGGGGTGTTAATGAGGGGGGGGGGGGTGAACAGGTGGGCGATGATTGGGTGTTAAGGGTTCACGGTGCTTGTTAGTGGGACAGGGGGGAGGGGGTAGTTAACCTGTGGGGGAGGGGGTTGGACGGTTCTTGGGCTTGTCTGTCTGTCTTTCTGTTTGTCTGTCTGTCACGTTCCCTCTCACTCTCTTCCTCCCCTTTCTCTCCTACTCTCTCTCTCTTTCTCTCTCTCTCTCTCTCTCTCTCTCTCTCTCTCTCTCTCTCTCTCTCTCTTTCTCTCTTTCTCTCTTTCTCTCTTTCTCTCTTTCTCTCTTTCTCTCTTTCTCTCTTTCTCTCATTCTCTCATTCTCTCATTCTCTCATTCTCTCTCTCTCTCTCTCTCTCTCTCTCTCTCTCTCTCTCTCTCTCTCTCTCTCTCTCTCTCTCTCTCTCTCAATTAATACGTGCTACGAAGAATTCAATTAACAAAGAATTAAAGAGAGTAAACAAAAGAAATATATCATAATGAAATAAAGATAATATATATGAAACAAATGTATACATACAGAGAAGTAACATTCTACATACACACACATGGCTTACCAGAACAATGGTCCACACATGCACTGTAATTATATACATACATACATACATACATATAGTTATTCAAGATTCAAGATCAAGATATTCATCACATTCAAGATTCTCAAGGGTAGGGTAGACAAAAGTAGATAGAGTAGATAAAGACAGTCTATTTAACACAAGGGGAACACGCACTAGGGGACACAGGTGAAAACTGAGTGCCCAAATGAACCACAGAGATATTAGAAAGAACTTTTTTAGTGTCAGAGTGGCTGACAAATGGAATGCATTAGGCAGTGATGTGGTGGAGGCTGACTCCATACACAGTTTCAAGTGTAGATATGATAAGAGCCCAATAGGCTCAGGAACTTGTACACCTGTTGATTGACGGTTGAGAGGCGGGAAAAAAGAGCCAGAGCTCAACCCCCGCAAGCACAATTAAGTGAGTATACATATGTATAAATATACAAGCACACATATACATACGTCCCTAATCTACACTCAAAGCCAGCAATTTCTTATTATACACCCCCCTCCCCCCCCCTAAAAATCATACTAGATGCATATCCATATCATACACAGCCCCCCCCACCCTCCCTAGTGGACACACACTCATACATACACACACACACACACACACACACACACACACACACACACACACACACACACACACACACACACACACACACACAGGCACACAAGAATGCTCACAAACCCATCAATCAGCGTTCCGCAACTGGCACTCCGTCCTCCGCCCCTCCCTCCCATGAACCGGGGGGCGGGGCACCCCACCTATATATAGCAGCGTGACGCCTCATGTCCTCAGTCTCTTGCTTGCCACCGTAGAAGGAACTGCTATTAAAGGTAACAGTACAATGGTCAATCCTCTCATCTTAAGAGGATACTGAGAAGCATCTCTCTCAACTGCACATACATTAAGAGGTGTATATAGTATACTTCTCGGTGTATGTGTGTGTATACTGAGAGTATACTTTTGTCCTGGACAATGTTCAGGATTAAAGTATTAAAGTATATTTGATGGTTGGTCAGTAAGGTGTTGTGGTGGTCTTAATAACCCTCCAGAGGTTCGTAGGTCTTAATAACCCTCCAGAGGTTGGTAGGCCTTAATAACCCTCCATGTGTTGATAGACCTTAAGCCAAAGCAACGAACCGACAATATATTGAAAATCCACATGATTAACAATTTATGATAAACGTCACATTTTGGGCATTGTATATAGACTGGTGTTATTTTCTAAGGGATTTAAATATGTAAATAATTGTTAATACTGAATTTAATATTATTATTATAATTATTATTTTTTTTTTTTTAAAACGTTACCTCCAGGTAACGGTAAACTCAGAATAGGTTTACAACAAAGGGTATGACAGCTGAGTGGAGAGCGCTCGGCATTCGTAATCCTAAGGTTCCGGGTTCGATCCCCGGCGGAGGCGGAAACAAATGGGCAGAGTTTCTTTCACCCTGATGATCATGTTTACCTAGCAGTCAATAGGTACCTGGGAGTTAGATAGCTGCTACGGGCTGCTTCCTGGGGATGTGTAACAAAAAGGAGGCCTGGTCGAGGACCGGGCCGCGGGGACGCTAAGCCCCGAAATCATCTCAACATACACAGAGATCACAATAACGTGATGTATCAAATGAACAAATCCACAAGGGCCGTAGCTCAGTCGATTAAGGCAGTGTCTGGGATGCTCCCGGACGCAGGTTCGAATCCTCGCTAAGGCCCTTGTTGATTTGTTCATAATAATAATAATAATAATAATAATATTGAATTTAAATAAGGTACATACATACAATAAATTTTTACAAAAATTGGTTGACTTATAGGTAGAGCTAGTACATACAATGCCTAAAGCCACTATTACGCAAAGCGTTTCGGGCATGATAAACTTAAGATAATCTCAGGCTTTGATCTGGCAGGCATTCATCTCAAGATAATCTCAGGCATTGATCTGGCAGGCATTCATCTCAAGATAATCTCAGGCATTGATCTGGCAGGCATTCATCTCAAGATAACCTCAGGCATTGATCTGGCAGGCATTCATCTCAAGATAATCTCAGGCATTGATCTGGCAGGCATTCATCTCAAGATAACCTCAGGCATTGATCTGGCAGGCATTCATCCCAAGATAATCTCAGGCATTGATCTGGCAGGCATTCATCTCAAGATAATCTCAGGCATTGATCTGGCAGGCATTCATCTCAAGATAATCTCAGGCATTGATCTGGCAGGCATTCATCTCAAGATAATCTCAGCCATTGATCTGGCAGGCATTCATCTCAAGATAATCTCAGGCATTGATCTGGCAGGCATTCATCTCAAGATAATCTCAGGCATTGATCTGGCAGGCATTCATCTCAAGATAATCTCAGGCATTGATGTTGTTTTTTTCAGATGATGTGGAGAGTCAGCCGCGTTGTGTTGGTGGTCGCCCTTGTGCTGGCTACGGCCATGGCTGAGCCCGAAGCCAAGGCTGATCCCAAGGCTGAGGCTAAAGCTGAACCTGAGGCTGACCCTAAGGCCGAGGCAAAGGCTGATCCTAAAGCCGAGGCAGTGGCCGCGGCTGAGGCTAAACCTGGCTACCCAGTTCCCTGCTATCCAGAGACTAAGTACATCAACGCCTACCAGACTCAAGTCCAACACGTAAGTCTAAAGCCTTTTTCTTTGGATAGTGCTGTGATGGGGTTGGTCAACGTTAGCGGTCTGAGAAGGCTGACTTTAAGGATGAATTGGTCAATTGGCTTCAGAAGATGGCTGACATAATCTATCCTTGAAATTGAAATAAGTTTATTGAGGTAAAATACACACAAAGGGATGATTTAGCTCAAGCTATTCTCACCCCGTTCAGTACAACGTGTTCATACATATACATAGACACACATCACAAACAATAAACATATTGCCGAACATTCTGAGAGATAAACATATACAATTCCTCCTTTACACAAGTAGTATGTTATCAGACGTACACATAAATACTTTTATGACTTAGGTCTACTGTATAGACAATTTGCAAGAGCCATCCTTGAAGGGTTTGAATAAATATCAAGATATGAGATATTACAGCTAAGAAGAAAAGGAATATCATGTATGTGAGATTCCAACGTCTATCCACCCAAATGCCCCTGTCTATTTTCATGCGTGTGGGGGCGGGGGGGGGGGGGGGTTGGACTAACGTTTAACCGCGTTATTGAGCCTGTCTGTCTGTCTGTCTGTCTAACTGTATGTTTCATTTTCTGTTGCAGTATCCTGTCTACGAGACGGTCTACAAGAAGCAGGTCGTGCCCACCACCTTGTACAAGACCAACTACCAAACCCAGTACCAGACCAAATACCAGACCGAATACGTCCCCAAGTACGTGACACAGGTAGTGTACAAGACCCAGGTCAACTACGTCACTAAGCTCCAGACCCAGTACCAGACCCAGTACCACACCCAGTACGTCACTGTACCCCAGTATGTCCCTACCTACGTCACGGACACCCACTACCAAACCAAATACCAGACTCAGGTACTGTACCAGACCCTGTACAAGACCGAGTACACGCCCCAGTACGTGACCAAGACCAAAGTCCAGTACCAGACCCAGTACCACACTCAGGCGGTACCCCAATACGTTACTGTGGTACAGGAGGTTGTGGCCTACAAGACTGCTTGTCCCAAGCCCGTCTATGGATACCATTAGAACATCAACCACAAGGCAGATCCCAACCCTCTTTCTCAAAATTTCGAACGTTCTGATGTCTTCCCACCAAACTATGCAACTGTCTAATACTCTCACTTAAGTTACGCCTTCAAGATATAGGTCAAAATGGTGTGGAAATCCGCCAAGGTCTTTGTCGCAACTCGTCTCAGTTATTAAGCTCAAAAGAATCTTTGAAAAAAGGGATCTTTGGCTATGCCATTTGGCTGAAGCACAGGAGCCAGGCTGCCTAGTGGCCCTCCTCAGCTGTGCCACAAGGAACCAGCTGTCTCAGCTATGCCATTAGGAACCATAGATAGCCCTTCTGAGTAGCCGTATTTCCTTTTGTTTACAAAACGTCTGCCTTGGAACACAGAAGAGACGCTTTTGCCTAATAATTCCCTTCCCTTGGAGCCCCCTCTCCCTTCTGTCTACAGACCCGAATAATTCAGCTTCCGTCAAAACACACAACAGAACCGTCTAATTACTGTACAGTTTAATTATATATAAATAATGTATATTACTATTTTTTCACGATTTCAATATTTGAGTATTTTTTGGTATACCACTTGTATAAATTATGAATTATTTTTTTTGTAAATTATCCAAATTTCTGATTGTCAAAAAAGCAATTATAAATGTATAAATTTTGAGATAGGTCATTTTCTTAATTTATTTATACGTAAATGTATTATCCTAGTGCATGTCTCATTGATAATAATACATCAGGGGCCAATAACCCTGTATAGCTTATGTATATGAATACAATGCAATATAAAGCTAATAAAAATATATCTGAATTTATTCAAATGATATTCATATTCCTATGTATACATTAATGCCTTGTGCGCAAGGAAGCAAAAAAAAAAAATACATCTTTGGAGAATACAATAATGCCATAATATTGTATTCTTTGGAGAATACAATAATGCCATAATATTGTATTCTTTGGAGAATACAATAATGCCATAATATTGTATTCTTTGGAGAATACAATAATGCCATAATATTGTATTCTTTGGAGAATACAATAATGCCATAATATTGTATTCTTTGGAGAATACAATAATGCCATAATATTGTATTCTTTGGAGAATACAATAATGCCATAATATTGTATTCTTTGGAGAATACAATAATGCCATAATATTACCTATTTAGTTATCAGTTCGAGACTGTTGCCAAATCTTGATACTTTGTCTTATTACAAAATCTCACAAGATATGTCACGTCTGGTAAGAGATCTGTTGAGATTTGTCGAGTTTCTTCAAAGATTTACGAGAAATATCTGTTAAGAAATCTGATATGTTAAGAGTTTGCTGTAAAATCTCAATAGTTTTGTATTTAGAATCTCAATAGTTTTGTAAATACAAATCACAATGTATTTTTGTCTTGTAATAGTTTTTGTTGCAAAACAGCGTTGCAAACTGAAACAGTATTCAATTATACTTTGGTTGTAAACTTTGCCATGGTCAAGGTTTGCGAGTAAAGTAGATATATAACCAAAATAATCGATGGATGAAGAAACAACAGAAGATTGGACACTGGCGAGGCATTCATTATACATTAAACAAAGCAGGCCACGTGAACACACAAGGGGCGTGATGAGGGTTCGAATCTACGTCTTACGGGCTCGCCATAGCCCGTGCTACTTGGACACTTCGTTCTGAGTAGCTAAATCTGAAACAACAACAACAACTTTGTAATGCTTACGGGCTATTCATGCCCGTGCCACCTCTTGGGTTGCTTAATCTTCAACAATCATTGAATCACTTTGTAATGATTCAAACTCTGCGTTTGACAATTATAAACAAAAATTAAGGGAACGCAACTCTTAGCGTTAGGCCCAATCAAACTGGAAAAAGGAACTATAGAGGCGTTAATTCTTCAACTTCCTTCTCAAGTGAAAAAATATAAGAAAAAAAAGAGAAGATTCGCACTAGAATGATTGCTCTCTCCCTTTCGTTCACATTCAACAATGAACAAATCCACAAGGGCCGTGACGAGGGTTCGAACCTACGTCCGAGAGCATCCCAGACGCTGACTTAGGCAATAATCTATGCCTACAGAAAAGACTGCTACAGTACGCCTGCAAAACACAATCCTCTCTATAGTGTAAGGCATTAGTGGTTTGGTGGGCGTATGACATCTCCCTAGGTGACACGTAGGGGCGTATCAACACGGTTATGCCATTTATGGGCGCCAGGGAACCAGGGGTGTATGTCAGCTGATTTATACGCCCGAAAGAGCAAGCTGGCTGATGCGTAATCTCAAATGTCATATAGTTCATATATATACATATGAACATGGGCAGGCAGTATTCTGGGGATCATAAATGAATGCACTAGAATGAGCGCATGTAAGTAAGCGCACGAAAGTAAACGCACGAAAGTGAACGCACGAAAGTGAACGCACGTAAATAAACGCACGAAAGTGAACGCACGTCAATAAACGCACGAAAGTGAACGCACGTAAATAAACGCACGAAAGTGAACGCACGTAAATAAACGCACGAAAGTGAACGCACGTAAATAAACGCACGCAAGTGAACACTCGCCAGTGATTGCTCACACAATCCTAATGTATCCTTCTAGACAGTACACATGCAAGGACGACTAACCAGGGATACGCATTATGCCCCGTAACAATCCACAGGACTTTCCCACGCAGTTCACCGCCATAATTTCTGACACACGCCACATAACTCTTGAATACTTATAGAGCCCGCGTCTGACCTCCTGTTTAACAGAGTTTAAGCTTACTAAACCTTGCCCGAAACGCTATGCGTGTTAGTGGCTTTGCAAGAATGTAAATATATCATTCAAATGTAATCTCACTGACCTATTGTACCTGCTTATAAATAAAATATTATATTATTATACTTATTATGCTTATTATACTTAGGGCAAGCTGGCTGATGCGTAATTTTATATGTCCAGTAATAAGCTGATTATGCTGTAAAAATAGCATATCTATAGCATAAATTTTTCTTATTACCTGTATTATTATTTTTATTATTATTTTTTGTGTATTATAATATTTTTATTATTATTATTATTATTATAGAGGTTGTATTAAGCACTCAACATGTGTAATAGTGTGAGATGCAGAGTGTAAGTGAACACTATTTGTGTACGCAGGATCGAGCTGTTAGCTCTTGGTCCCCGCCTTTCTAACCGACAGTTGTTTAATGTACTGACTCCCGATCTATTGATTTTTTATTGTCATATCCGTAGCGAATATTTTTCTCTAACACACACAAACACATTCTTAAGATGTAGATCGTAGCAGCTGTCTAACTCCCAGGTACCTATTTATTGCTAGGTGAACAGGCGCATCAGATGAAAAAAACACGTATTTGTTTTCTGTGTCGGCTGGGAATCGAACCCGGGGCCTTGGAGCTATGATCCCAGAGTGTCTGCTCGGCCACTCAGACCTCTGGTGTGTGTGTTCTCACCTAGTTGTGCTTGCAGGGGTTGAGCTCTGGTTCTTTGGGCCCGCCTCTCAACTGTCAATCAATCAATCAACTTTTTCTTTTATACACACACACACACACACACACAGGGAGCAGCCCGGAGCAGCTGTCTAACCCCTAGGTACCTATTTACTGCTAAATGAACAAGAGCATCAGGGCGAAAGAAACTCTGCCCATTTGTTTCAGCCTCCGCCGGGGATCGAACCCGGATCCTTTAGGACTATGAATACCGAGCGTTGTTCACTCAGCCGTCAGGGCCCCTTGTGTGTGTGTGTGTGTGTGTGTGTGTGTGTGTGTGTGTGTGTGTGTGTGTGTGTGTGTGTGTGTGTGTGTGTGTGTGTGTGTGTGTGTGTTATAAAACAGCTACAGTTACGTGCTTTAAAAGTTTATTAAGCACTGTTCACAGCATTGCTAATCCTGAACCAAGCCATTGCGTATATTTTTATCAGGATTTGTGCTGATTTTCTGCACATTAAATTGTCTGGCCTCAATGTTTGTCTCCGTTGTATATCTGTCTGTGTCTGTTTGGCTATATATTGGTCTGTCTTTGATTGGTTGTATATCTGTCTGTCACACAAGCACACACACACACACACACACACACACCCTCTTCCCAAACACAAACAAACAGAACACAGAAATAGAACACAAACAAAACTCAACACCGTTTTGAGGAAGCAGAGAACATAGTCCTGAAGGAACACAGAAACACGAAATAAAAAAGGATCCCGTATGTATGTATGTATGTATGTATGTATGTATGTATGTATGTATGTATGTATGTATGTATATATGTATGTATGTATGTATGTATGTATGTATGTATGTATGTATGTATGTGTGTGTGTGTATGTATGTATGTATGTATGTATGTATGTGTGTATATATATATATATATATATATATATATATATATATATATATATATATATATATATATATATATATATATATATATATATATAAGGTCAGCATATAGAAGACGCAGCAGTGCATGGCAGACAAATATCCATGACAGCAAGGCGTGACACGCAAGAGGGCAGGCTGCCTGTCACACGCAAGTGTCACGCAGTCGTCCGTCACCTGACAAAGAGGGTCACTGGGGAGGGGAGAGAGAGAGAGAGGGGTGGGGGGGTGTTGGAGGCCCATTGACCCTCTTAAACTCCCCCCACCCCACCCCACTCTCCCCCCTTCAATGAGTCTTAATATCCAAGCGGGCAGAAAGGGTCGCCTGTGACTATATATATATACGGGACTCGACTCTCCGTCATATCATTCTCTCGCTTGCCATCAGAAAGACTTCGACAGCTCAGGTAACACGAAGATTCCCATTGGGGTCAGATTTTTGGGGGTTTCTTTAAGGTATTACCTTTGGGTGCATTTCTTTGGGGGCTTCCTTAAGGTATTCCCTTTGGGGGTTTCTTTAAGATACTGTATTCCCTTTGGGTTCATTTCTTTGGGGGGCTTCTTTAAGATATTCCCTTTGGGTTCATTTCTTTGGGGGCTTCCTTTAAGATATTCCCTTTGGGTTCATTTCTTTGGGGGGCTTCCTTTAAGATATTCCCTTTGGGTTCATTTCTTTGGGGGCTTCCTTTAAGATATTCCCTTTGGGTTCATTTCTTTGGGGGGCTTCCTTTAAGATATTCCCTTTGGGTTCATTTCTTTGGGGGGCTTCCTTTAAGATATTCCCTTTGGGTTCATTTCTTTGGGGGTTTCTTGTGTGTACCTTTTTTGGTTTCTTTAAGAAATTCCCATTGGGTTCGTATCTTCTGTTTTTTTAAAGATATATTCCTATTGGGTTCATACCTTTTGGAGTTATTTTAAGATGTTTATTGAGTTAATACTTTTTTGGGACTTCTTTAAAATTTCCATTGGGTTACTGCCGTTTCGGGTTTCTTAGAAATATTACCACTGGGTTAGTACCGTTCGGGGTTTACTTAAAGCTAATCAAAGATTCATCATTGTAAAATGTAAAATGTAAATTATGTAAAATACAATAAAAAGTCAGTCAAAGATTTGTTAAGAAATGTTGCACAAGCAATTGCAGAACGGATGCATGGAGTAATTGTTGTTTCATTCGCTATTCCCTCTTCTTCCTCTGCCTCTCTAGAGTGAAACTGACTTTTGTCTGTCTCTCTGTCTTCCTCTTTCTCTCTAGTGAAACAGACTTTTGTCTCTCTCTCTTCCTCTTTCTCTCTAGTGAAACAGACTTTTGTCTCTCTCTCTTCCTCTTTCTCTCTAGTGAAACAGACTTTTGTCTCTCTCTCTCTTCCTCTTTCTCTCTAGTGAAACAGACTTTTGTCTCTCTCTCTCTTCCTCTTTCTCTCTAGTGAAACAGACTTTTGTCTCTCTCTCTTCCTCTTTCTCTCTAGTGAAACAAACTTTTGTCTCTCTCTCTCTCTTCCTCTTTCTCTCTAGTGAAACACACTTTTCTCTCTTTCTCTCTCTCTCCTCCTCTTTCTCTCTAGAGTGAAACAGACTTTTCTCTCTCACTCTCTCTCTCTCTCTTCCTCTTTCTCTCTAGTGTGAAACAGACTTTTCTATCTCTCTCTCTCTCTCTTCCTCTTTCTCCCTAGAGTGAAACAGACTTTTCTCTCTCACTCTCGCTCTTTCTCTCGCTCTCTCGCTCTCTTGCTCTCTCTCTCTCTCACTCTCTCTCTCTGTTATTATTAAGACATGGTAAATCACAGCACCGTGACTCTGTGTCGCAGCTCATAACTTCCATGGAGTGTTCACAGTGTTTGGTCACATCCTTGACACTTGTTCAACTACATTTGCGTAACTACAAAGTCACTTTGTGTGTGTGTGTGCAATCACCTAGGTGTGCTTGCGAGGTGGTTGAGCTTTGGCTCTTTGGTCCCGCCTCTCAACCGTCAATCAACTGGTGTACAGGTTCCTGAGCCTACTGGGCTCTATCATATCTACACTTGAAACTGTGTATGGAATCAGCCTCCACCACATCACTGTTTAGTGCATTCCATTAGGCAGTGTGTGTGTGTGTGTGTGTGTGTGTGTGTGTGTGTGTGTGTGTGTGTGTGTGTGTGTGTGTGTGTGTGTGTGTGTGTGCGCGTGTGTTCGTTCAGCAGTGCTCGCTTTACATCTTTCAAATGTCTATCTACATGTATATATAGACACGTAATGTCACTTTTACAATCCCCTCGAAAATACATTCAAATTAAGATATCATCAACCCGTTATCACACCAATAACGCCATTACTGAAAAAAATTTACCCCTACCCCCAAAAAAATCCAAGATCCCGCCCAGAAACCCCCCAAAAATACCCAAGACCCGGACAAAAGTCCAAGACCTCAGACATAAACAAACGCGTGAAAGCACTGTATCTATTGTTTACCCGCGAAGCCTCTGTCGCCTCTACGAACACACCTGTGTTACAGATGATGACTGGAGTCGCTGGAGTCGTCGTGTTGGGTATGGTTGTGGTAGCAGCCAGGGCAGTGGCTGCGGCAGACTACCCTGAGCCCTGTTACCCCGATACCCTCTACGTCACCCAATACCAGACGCAGGTCCAGCAGGTCAGTAACGAAGTATGGGGTACCTAGAAGCAGGTCAGGAATGACGTTAGTGTTCATTATTATTATTATTAGCACAAAAATCATGTGATATATCGATGAGAAAATTCACTAGGGCAATGAGGTGGGTGCAAACCTTACATGTATGTGCAGGCGATGAGTCATAATAACGTGGCTGAAGTATGTTGACCAGACCACACACTACAAGTTGAAGGGACGACGACGTTTCGGTCCGTCCTGGACCATTCTCAAGTCGATTTTGAGAATGAAATCTACTTGAGAATGGTCCAGGACGGACCGAAACGTCGTCGTCCCTTCAACTTCTAGTGTGTGATCTGGTCAACTTACATGTATGTGGCTTGGCAAGGGAAAGGTTGAAGGTTCGCGCCTAACAGCCCAAGTAGATATTCTCATTATTATTATCTAGTGAAATGTAAACTTTAACATGTGTTCATTACAGGTGCCTGTGTACCAGACGGTTTATAAAGAACAGTACATTCCTACCACCTTGTACCACACCCACTACCACACCAAGCACCTTACCCAGCACCACACGCAGTACGTGCCCAAGTACGTGACGGAGACCGTGTACAAGACCAACATCCAGTACGTGACCAAGTACAAGACCCAATACAAGACGGACTACGTCACCCAGTACGCTACAAAGATCCAGTACATCCCCACCTACATCACCAAGGTCCAGTACAAGACCGAATACCGCACCGACGTCAAGTACCAGCCCGTGTACGAGACGGTGTATAAGCCCAAGTATATCACTAAGACGTACGCTCAGTATCATACACAGTATGAAACCCAGCTGGTCCCTCAGTACGTCACTGTCACTAAGACGCACAAGACGTACAAGACCGTCTGCCCCAAGCCGGTCTACGGCTACGCCCACGGCTTCTAGACGAACGACTCTCGGCTTCTAGACGAACCTCTACGGCTTCAAGACCAACGTAAACGGCTTCAAGACCAACGTCCACGGCTTCTAGACGAACGACTCTCGGCTTCTAGACGAACGTCCACGGCTTCTAGATGAATGTCTACGGCTTCAAGACCAACGTCCGCGGCTTCTAGATGAACGTCTACGGCTTCGAGACCAACGTCCACGGCTTCTAGACGAACGACTCTCGGCTTCTAGACGAACGTCTACGACTTCAAGACAAATGTCTCTCGGCTGCGTATCTCACGAACTCGGAAACATGCCTTAAATTGCTCATTTTCAAATATGCCTGTAACATATATTTTGTAAAAAAAATTGTACTGAAATAAGCTTCCACGAGAACTTGCTGTATATTAATACGTATTTCAAGGCGCGGGATGAATTCTCAGTGAATTGAAAAGAAATCTATCTTAGACTTTTTTGTATATATAAAAATTAACTCTAAGACTTTATTTAAATGGTTATAGTTTCTCGGCTTAAGTGCGTGATGTTTAGACATGTTTTAATGCATGATGTTTAAACATCTGTGTTAAGTCATCTTATGTCATCCTTAAATTCACGGAATCATCAATCTTGCCTTGAGATTAGTGTATAATAATATATATAGGACATCAATGTGTATATGGCATATTAAAAACCGTCTGTAATTACACCTAATATATAAATATGTATTTAAGTTATTCATCTCAGAGCTGCTTTTTAATTACCTTATAGAGTGATGATATTTATACAAATGAGAAAAGAGATAATGTCTCTCTCTCTCTCACACACACACACACGCACACACACAGCCCAGTAGGCTCAGGAATCTGTACACCAGTTGATTGACAGTTGAAAGGCGGGACCAAAGAGCCAAAGCTCAACCTCCGTAAGCACAATTAGGTGAGTACACACATACACACTTCACAGTAATTAATAAATGGAATGCATTAGGCAGTGATGTGGTGGAGGCTGACTCCATACACTAGTTTCAAATGTAGATATGATAAGAGGCTCAGGAACCTGTACACCAGTTGATTGATAGTCGAGAGGCGGGACCAAAGAGCCGAAGCTCAACCCCCACAAGCACAACTAGGTGAATACACACACACAGAAAAGAGATGTATCGAGCTAAACAACAGAATAACTGAAACTACTGAAGGCCTATTGGCCCATACGAGGCAGCTCCTATTTATATCAACCGAAACTCATACATAAATGTCTAACCTACGCTTGAAACAATCCAACGCTCCCTCGCCTATTATGCTACCCATTAATATGCTCCCAAAATCAACAACCCTGTTTCCCAACCAGTATTTACCCATAGGTCTTTACTGAACATAAACTTATTAATGTATACCCCACTCTTTCGTGGTCTGGTCTGTGTTGATATTTTTAAAATCTAATAATTTATATTCTTTGATCCTGTTGTATAGTTCAATCATGTTGTTTCTTATTCTTCGTTTGTCTAGAGAATGTAAATTAAGTTTTTTTTTCTCTTAATTGGGAAGAATTTCAATTCCTAGAATTGGAAATCTTCCAATTTATAGAAATTGAAAGCTTTTCAATTTCTATGACTCTCAGATCTTGAAAGTCATAGAAACTGAGAGTCAAGAAACTGACTCTCAGATCTTCTTCACTTCCAAAATTTCCAATTCACAGAATTGGAAATCTTCAAATTCTAGTTGGCATTCCAATTCCTACCTTGTCATCGTTCTCTGTGTGCCAGGCAAGTCCACTACGGGCTCACCAAACCCAGTGCTACTTGCCCCGCTCCTGTGCCAGGTAAGTTACGGGCTCACCATAGCCCGTGCTACTTGCCCCGCTCCTGTGCCAGGTAAGTCCACTACGGGCTCACCAAACCCAGTGCTACTTGCCCCGCTCCTGTGCCAGGTAAGTTACGGGCTCACCATAGCCCGTGCTACTTGCCCCGCTCCTGTGCCAGGTAAGTCCACTACGGGCTCACCAAACCCAGTGCTACTTGCCCCGCTCCTGTGCCAAGTTACGGGCTCACCATAGCCCGTGCTACTTGCCCCGCTCCTGTGCCAGGTAAGTTACGGGCTCACCATAGCCCGTGCTACTTGGAACTTGTTCAGAATAGCTGAATCTATAACAACAACATGTGTAGGCGTTTAAGCGCATTAATGCCCACACTGTACAAAGGAGACCAACACTAAACTGTATAATCTAAATGGGGTCAAACAAGATAAAAATTATTCTTGAGAATAATATTACATGTCTTATACAGATAAATACACACAAGCGTGATAATAGATTAATGATAAAATCGATTGGAGTAAATGGGGGTGGGATTCGAACCCCTCGACCTGTGTAACTCCCAAGTAACTTTTTATTTTTTGTATTATTATTATTAATTTCTACCACAGACGTGGCCAGACATTTACAATGCTAACCAGCATATATATATATTTTCTTCTGTCCTCCATGGACAGGGTTAGAGATGTGTTAAACATGTAGTTTTGTGATTTATTGAACATCAACCACAGAAGGTGATTGTAGTGCTTTTAAAAAGTTAATCTAACCTACAGACATAAATACACAGATTTACGTCTGTTCTACATAAACAGTGTTCCATGTGTCTTTTTACATAGTGTCATTAATGTGTGTTTACAAAGGTGAAATGCAATTCTGACCAGCTTTCACATATTCTGTACACACACATACATATACATATATATATGTTCCAGTATTCATATACTATTTACAGAGTTCAGCATACCTTAGCCCAGGAGGGCGAAAGTCAGTCAGTATGGGACATTCTACAATATAATGTTCAAGAGAGTGCATGTTTTCTCTTTCACAAAGTTGACACATTGTGTACTCGACATTTGGGTTTTGAGAAAGCTGCCAGATACTTCTATATCCCAGGCGTATTCTGGCCACTATAACATCACATTGCCGGGTTCTTGTTCTATTAGTCCCATATGTGAATGTCTCCTCACGATATCTATCATAACATTTAATGCTACAACTTTCAGGTCTTTGTGAATTTGTTAGGTCGGTGAGATTTTCATTAGATATTTGTTTAAGTATTCTCTTTGCCACTGATAATGAAACATCCATATCAATTTCTACCACTGGTTTTCTACAGGCTGTCTTTGCAAGCATATCAACAGTGTCATGCCTTGAGATGCCAACATGTGATGGTATCCAAAGAAAATAAATTTCAAATCCGTTTTCTTTAGCAGCTAAAACATTCATTCGAATATCACTGACTATTTTCTGGGTGTCACTACTATGTGCGTTCAATGCCAGGAGTGCACTCTGCGAGTCACAGTATATAAGTCCACTGCCTTTGTCTTTTAAAAATTCAGTGGCAAGGTATATGTCTGCAAGTTGGGTTTGAGTTGTACTTGCCCAGTCAATGACGCGCTTCATTGCTGTATGTACGAGAGAAGATTGTTCAAATATGTTACATGCACATCCGGTACATCGTCCACCTTCTTCTACAGAGCCGTCGGTATAGCACTGATAAACATCGTTACCCATACTCTGAGTACTTTCAGTGATGCTTTTCAGTGTTAACTGTTGCATGTTGACCAGACCACACACTAGAAAGTGAAGGGACGACGACATTTCGGTCCGTCCTGGACCATTCTCAAGTCACAATCACAATCGACTTGAGAATGGTCCAGGACGGACCGAAACGTCGTCGTCCCTTCACTTTCTAGTGTGTGATCTGGTCAACATACTTCAGCCACGTTATTGTGACTCCTCGCCTGCTTAACTGTTGTAATAATGTAGAGTGCACACTATTTTTCTTGGATGCATTTACAAATGCACTGGGAGTACCCTGGGAGTAACTGCTGGGAGTATTCACGTCGAGGGTTCGAATCTCCGCATTGCTCTAGCTGATTTTATCATTAGATGTCTTGTTGATAACGCTTCTAGAAACAAATTCCATGTATTGTATTTTCCTTATTCCGTACATAACGGAATATTTTTTGCTTTTCTGTCTTTATTTCTTAAGAGTAAAGGTCCCTTCTAATCTTACTCCCAGATCTTCGTCTTTCAGATCTCGCAATTTCAACATTGTCCAGCTGATATTTGGTACCTATTTTTATTACTTAGCCTCTGAATCCAATAAAAATGTCAGCATTAAATTGCATCTTTCAATCTTTCGTCAAATTTAAAATCCTGTATCTGGATCGTCTTGTTATGGGTGTGTGTGTGTCTTCTGAATTTCCCGCCATATTTTGGTGTCTTCTTCAAATTCGAAAAATTTGGCGTTCAACGGTTTCCTGTTCAAATTTGAACTCCATTTCTGCAGACCAACTGCCTTCTATGAGATAACAACGCCTTAATCCAACTAAAGATAACCACCCAATAGAGACAATCTAAGAAATATCTGCTCGAATTTGATCAAAACTAACGTAAGATGATGATATATTGATGATAATGAGACTGGCACAATAGATAAGAATCAGACATCCTTAAGTCTATCATCGTAGGTAATAGTAGTGGGCATCCGTCAGTCTCAGGAGACTATGGAGTTGCGCTCTGGTTGTCGGTCTGGGACCAGATTCACGAAGCAGTTACGCAAGCACTTACGAACCTGTACATCTTTCCTCAAACTTTGACGGCTTTGGTTACATTTATTAAACAGTTTACAAGCATGAAAACTTGCCAATCAACTGTTGTTTTTGTTATAAACAGCCTCCTGGTGCTTCCGAGCTCATTAACTGTTTAATAATTGTAAACAAAGCCGTCAAAGATTGAGAAAAGATGTACAGGTTCGTAAGTGCTTGCGTAACTGCTTCGTGAATCCGGCCCCTCCAGGGCGCAAAGCCAGGGTAGGTTGACACGGGGAGAGAAGCTGTTACCCAAGCAGCAGTAACATAGTGCTAATGTAGCACTAAGAAAATCTTTCTTGTATACTTCATCTCATGTCTGTTTCAAATCCACATAACAGGTTGTTGACATATATTAGAAAGAGGATGGGGCCCTGGAACCGAGCCTTGTGG